CCCCTCCTGGAACGGATTAACCCGCCGGCACCCTGACTCCGGCGCGGTGTCAAGGAGAGGCCTGACTCTAACGCTAGGGAGAGACTGCTGAGAAAACCGGCTGTGAACCAGGGTCAGCCTGCCTCACTGCCTGAGGGGACTGCGACTCAGTGTACCTGCTCGCCCCCTTAAGGCTGTCCACGCACGCAGCTGCACCACAAGTTTCCACAGATACAACGAGCAAAAGCCCACAAGCTGCTGCCTAACCACGGACGTGTGCCAACACATTCCTAGACCAATCCCCCCCTCCCACGGCCCATGGGAAACCAGCCCTCACCCCCGAATCTGAGGCAGGTCTGCACCTCTCCTCCTCGGCTGACCTGGTGATAAAGCTCTCTGGTTTCTCGAAAGCCAGAGCATCGCCTCCGGGGTGCGGGGCTGTGAGCTCCTGGGCATGAGTGACAACCTCAGATTCTGTGAACAACAGGCAAGGCTGAGGGGCCGCCCTCTGACCCGGGGTCAGTTTGACCCCGGCCAGGGAGTGACCACAGGGCGCAGCAGGCCCCTCCTGTCTCCCCAGTGCTCCCCTCAGCCGTGGGTCTCAGCAGATCCGCCTGCTCTGCTCCCCACTGTCTCTGGGGAGTCCGCTCACCCTCCCCTCTGGCCTGCACCCCAGTTCTTGTGTGCATAAATAAATAAACCTTCAAAACAAAAGAATACTCAAGTTTCACACTATAGGTTCACGTAACGATTAGGGGTGCATCTCCCTCACAGAGCGGTCGGCCCTCCGGGAGCCAGCCTGCCTCTGACCGGGGCCCTGGCCCAGGGGCCGCGGGCCTGGCCCAGGATGAGCCCGAGGCCCGCATCCCGCCAAGCGGCAGAAGGCGCTCTGAGGGGAGCAGGGGCAGGTGCGACCCCAGGGCCGGCTGGCGGCGTCCTTGTGAATCTACCACTGTGGTGCGGGGTGGGGGGGGGTCCCCGCTGCGCTGCGTGCGAACCGGCATCTCCTGCTGAAGAGCGACGCTGGGCCCCGAGCGCTGCGGACCCTGGCGTGTCAGCGCAGGAAGTGCTGCTCAGATCTTCTGTCCTGTTTTTAACGAAGCTGTTCTTCTTCATATTACTGAATTACAGGCTTTCCTGAGAGATTCCGATAGAAGCTGTTTGTCAGGCACGTTTTGCAATGTGCTTCTCTGCCCGTGGCTTTACCCCTTCAAGCTGACAATACTGTTCGTGCTCTTACTGCAGCTGGTCTAAGCTCCTACTTTCCATTCCTCCCAAATCAGTTTGCAACTCTGAAAACCTAACTTACAAAATTTACATTATTTTACACATTGATTTTTATTGAGTTACGCACATAAGAACTGGGGTGCAGGCCAGAGGTGGGAGTGAGCGGACTCCCCAGAGACAGCGTGGAGAGCAGGGCAGGCAGATGCACTGAAACACGCTGCTGAGGGCGCAGCGGGCGGGTCAGGAGGGGTCAGGAGGGGTCTGCCGCGCCCTGGGGTCCCTCCCTGGCCTGCGACAGAATTCAGGCTGCAGGGGTGACAGCCCCGAGCCTCCACCCTGTGCTGCGGGAGGCCCCTGAGCACGGAACTCTCGCGCTGGTTTATTACTGTTTTCTTTGCCGGCCGTTCCTGTCCCTTCCCGCCCTCCCGCCGAGCCTCGGAGCCCGCAGGCCGTGCTGGTCCGCACGAGTCTCGAACGTGTTTCATGCTGACGAACGGCCTGCTACGTGGATGCCCAGTGTCTGCTTTCACCACCCAATTTAGTGAGCTTCGTATCATTTTTCCGAATCTCGCCTCCGTCGCTGAAGCCGGCTGTGCTCCCTCCTCCATGGTGGCTGGACACGCCGCCTCTGTCCGGAGAAGGGCCGGCTGCTCCCACGGCCGCCCGGCGCCTGTGAGCGCCAGCGTGGCTCTCCTGGTGCGCAGCTCCTCACCGCCCTCAGCCGCGGCGGGGGCGTCCCGAGAGGCTCGCAGGTGCGGATTCCCGGTCGGCCACAACTGGACTGATGTCTCCACGTGGGCAGGGAGCAGCCCGGGCTGGTTGTGTCTGTCCAGGTATATTCAGCTGCCCCGGCTCCATTTCGGGAAGCCTGGCACGAGCTGGCTTGGCTTCTCTGCCCAGACCAACGGAGCGGCTGGGCCTGCTCCCCCCACGGCTGGTCCGGCGCCAGGAGCGGCCCGTCGCTGCGCCACGCCCGACCCGACGGGCCGCTGTGGCCTCCTCCTGCCTCTCCCCTTTACTGAGGCCGCACCGCCGGGCAGGTGCGGGTGTCCTGCTCCCCTCGCTGCCCTCTGGGGCAGGCCCAGGTCTACTGGCGCCTGCCAGCGGGCGCTGCACCCCCAGCTGCGCCCCTCTGTGGCGACCCCCTGCGTAAGCCGCGACCACTGAGCCCCTTCATTTCAGCACCCACGTTCCCAGTTCGTAAATTTCCACACAAAGTCTGCTGGGTTGACAACTGGGGTGGATCGAGTATATACAACAATCTTGACAAAATTTACATTTTAATGATTTTTGAGGTTTCCAAGGCATAAACACCGTATATTGCTCCATTTACTTCGGTCTTTTAAAAACGTCTTCCAGCAGCTGTGCAATCTCAGATGCAGCGATCACGCCCGTCTTTCCTTGCAGCCATTATTAAAATTTTCCCTTTACATAACCGGAGGGGGAATTTATTTTTACTTCTATTTTCCATTTTTTTCCTGGCAGTGTATAAGAATACGCTTCATTTTTGTACGCTGTACAGTTTTTGTATTCTTCAACCTTGCTGTGTTTGCTTATTCATTCTGTTGGTAGTTTCATCGACTCCTTAGCATTTTCTGGGTAAACAGCTGATCGTGTGTGCAGAGACAGGTTTATTGGTTGCTTCCCAAGCTTTATGCCTTTTATTTCTTTTTCTCGCCTCATGGCGCTCGTGTGGGGGCTGTGGCATAGTGAGGCCGGCGCCTCGCTCCAGGCCCGAGGGGGAGCCTCCACGTCGGGCCCCGAGTCAGACCGAGCGTCCTCTTCACACACGCCCTTAGTGCGCATCCAGCTTGGGGAGCGCCTGTGTCCTGGAGGATGTTACATGTTGCCAGATGCTTTTTCCAGTGATTGCAATATTGCTCTCGTTTTTCTCGTTCATTCCATCAGTGGGATTCGCTAAACTAATTTTCAAGTGTTAGTTTGACCTAAATCAGTGGATTTGACTTACCAACAATTTGGTAAGGCTTTTCCATGAGAAAGCATGAGCGTCTTCCTAGCGCCTGTGTTGGGTTTTGGCGTTCGGGTGACGAGGCCTCGCGCGAGTTGGGGAGAATCCCTTCCGCGTTTATTTTTTAGATGTTGTAGAAGATCGATGCCATTTTCTCCCCTCTAGCACCAGTTCTTTCTAAGAGAACTTGTCTTTCCGTCTTTGTAATTCCACAGGTTCTATTTTTATTTTTTTTAAAGATTTATTTCTTTATGCAGGCAAGAACTGGGGTGCGGGCCAGAGGTGCAGGGGGTGAGAGGACTCCCCAGAGACAGAGGGGAGCAGAACAGGCAGATCCACTGAAGCACACTGCTGAGGGGAGCAGCGGGCGGGCCAGGAGCGTCTACTGCGCCCTGGGGCCCCCCCCTGCTCCCCCGGCCGGGGATCAAAGTGCCGCGCCAGCCCACAGTGCGCCTTGACTCCTTGCACCACGGGGCGGCCGTAGGTCCCGTTATGGTCACCGGGAGCACCGTGCCGCACACACGGTCTGGCGAGTCTCGGGTCTGGCTTGCGCCGGGAACAGGCCCCTTGAGGTCTCGTCTCGTGTCTCCCCAGCTGCGGTGGACAGCAGACCGGCCAGGCTAGCTCTGCACTCGTGTTAACTAACTGTCAGGGCCGGATCCGCCCGATACTGGATACAGGTCGTCGCGTGGCTGCCCTCCCCTCTTCCTGGCTTCGGGTCAACTCTTTGCTTTAAATTCCACTTCAGTGCGCCTGCGGCCTCCTGGCCACCACTTTGCAGCAC